GTAAAAAGAATATTTATTATATACAATCTGTGGTCTGGAGGAAACTTTAACATGTGACTTCTGTTCAATGTGCAATATGCATTTATAGTGAAAGAATCTGCCGACGGAAGATGACGGAATTCTGTGGTGCAAAAAAAAAAAAAAATCAACACTCTTATGACCTCTAGTGGACAAACCTTGGTAATACATGACAATACTGTGTAGATATGCTAACATTAATTCTCAAAGCTGTGTTGCTTTGGAGCTCTAGTTTAGTCCTGGTTTAGTCCTGGTTTAGTTCTGCTTCAATCCCAGTTTACTCCTGGTTTAGACGTGGTTTATACCTGATCTTTTTAGTCCTGGCCTAGTTTATACCTGGTTTAGGTGTGGTGCAGACTGGGTTAAGTCCTGGTTTAGACCTAGTTAAGTCCTGGTTTAGTCCAGGTTTAGACCTGGTTTAGTCCTGGTTTAGTCCTGGTTTAGACCTGGTTTAGTCCAGGTTTAGACCTGGTTTAGACCTGGTTTAGTCCTGGTTTAGCCCTGGTTTAGACTTGGTTTAGAACTGGTTTAATCCTGGTTTATTCCTATTTTAGACCTGGTTTAGATTTGGTTTAGACTTGGTTTAGACTTTTGCATTTTGTCCTTGTTTTGAGTCCTTTTTTGGGTCCACTCCAGTGGCACATAACAGGTTTAGTCCTGGTTTAGTCCTGGTTTAGACTTGGTTTAGACCTGGTTTAGACCTGGTTTAGACCTGGTTTATTCCTGGATTAGACCTAGTCCTGGTTTAGTCCTGATTTAGATCTAGTTTAGTCCTATTTTAGACCTGGTTTAGTCCTGGTTTATTCATAGTTTAGTCCATTTGATATGACTTTTTTAGTATCTATACTTGCTCAAATAAGTGTAGGTTCCATACTAGTTTTAGAATTTATTAGTATCTGATTTTCAATACTTTTGACAGCCCTGGTTAAAATAAGATCACTTTCAATATACTGCAAAGACAATGAAATTATAACAACAATGACATAATTAAAAGAGTGCATACAAACACTGAAGTTATCACCATAGCAAAAAGCAAAGGTGCTTACATTAACACACACAACATAAAGATATGAGCATGCCCTCCTTAGACCAACATGCCAGAGGCGGAGCAGAATGCCTCACACATGAATCACCGTGTGTCTGCGACCTCTCACCTCATTCTACACTGAAAAGACATCAGGAGTCTAACCCACAACCTCCAGCCCAAGAGACATCAGGAGTCTAACCCACAACCTCCAGCTCAAGAGACATCAGGAGTCTAACCCACAACCTCCAGCTCAAGAGACATCAGGAGTCTAACCCACAACCTCCAGCTCAAGAGACATCAGGAGTCTAACTCACAACCTCCAGCTCAAGAGACATCAGGAGTCTAACCCACAACCTCCAGCCCAAGAAACATCAGGAGTCTAACTCACAACCTCCAGCTCAAGAGACATCAGGAGTCTAACTCACAACCTCCAGCCCAAGAGACATCAGGAGTCTAACCCACAACCTCCAGCTCAAGAGACATCAGGAGTCTAACCCACAACCTCCAGCTCAAGAGACATCAGGAGTCTAACCCACAACCTCCAGCTCAAGAGACATCAGGAGTCTAACCCACAACCTCCAGCTCAAGAGACATCAGGAGTCTAACCCACAACTGCTTTACTAGTTCACAGGATTAAAGGTCTAAACTAGAGCCCTGCACCCGCGGGACCCGACGCAAAACAGTGCGATGCGGGACACATATTGAAAGTTCATTGTGGGTGTGGGCGGGAGCGGGACTGGACAATGTGGGAGCTGGTGGGTGGGATGATAAACTGCAAACCCGCAAACTAAATATAAGTCTAAAGTAAAATATACAAATGATTCATGTTTGCCTGTCATACATCATTTGTGCTGGATATTTTATTTAGCATTAATAAACACATTTTAAGCAGCATAAACGTGCATATGTGGTCTAATCTTGCGCACATTTTATTTATTTATTTATTTTTATTTATGCATTTTGGGCAAGTAAAGATTTACATTCATATACAAAGGAGCATACAGAAATGAAAATAACAACAAAAAATTACTATTATTATTATTACTTTCCCCAAAAAGGAGTGGGAAGAAGAAAATGTATTTAATCCCACCCCTACTTGTCATAATCTAACACAATGAGCTTTCTTTTGTGCTTTTCAGACATTTGTAAACTATACTACAAACTATTTACGAGTGCAGACAAAGAGTCACTGTTATAGCGTGGTAGCTTCAACAATTCCTTTCCACTTCTCCGTGTTTGATAGAGTTTAAGAAGACGAATGTCCCCCATGTTGCGGGATTTGTGGGCTGGAGCAGGACAAAATATCACAGATGTGGGCCGGAGCAAGAATGAAAATTACAATCCTTTGCGGGTGCGAGCGGGAGCAGGACTGCACAGTGCGGGCAGGAGCAGGACTGAAAATTCTGTCCCGTGCAGACCTTTAGTCTAAGAAAGAATGTAGAAAGATCAGAATTCTAACCCACAACCGCTTTACTAGTTCATAGGACTAAAACAGTACCGTATTTTCCGGGCTATTAGACGTGGTCTTAAGCCTCTAACTCCATCACAAAACGACTGCGTGCCCCGCAATCCAGAGCGCCCCATACACGAATCCACCCGGGTGTCCCAGCACAACTTCAGTAAACTACAAAGCCACACCACCTGCAGAACACACAAACACACACGGAGCAGACAGCGACCGTGCAGCCAAAAACACCCACAGACACACTCATTACTCCACGCCGACGAGGAACGGAACGAAGGAACCAACAGAGAAAGCGAATGCAGTGTGTCACTGAGCCAGAACTGAACAACTGAGTCACTGCGAACACGGCGACAATCCGTTGGTCCCAGACAGCACCCTCCCTACACGCCACAACTGAACAAAGCCCAGAGTCACCGTGAACGCCACAAACAAACAAAACCACTCACACATCTAACTGTTGTGTTTCCCTTAAAATCCGGTGCAGTTTATTTGTGAAAAAAGTTCAAAGATAGACCATTTAATGACAGTGCCTAATAGTGCGGAAAATACAGTACTAAAGCAATACTAAACCAGGTCTAGAAAGATCAGAAGTCTAACCCACAATCTCCTTACTGAGAGGAGAAGACAGGATAACCACTCTGCCACAGAAACAGAGGGAGAACATGCACACTCCACTCAGAGAGATCAGGAGTCTAACCCACATCCGCTTTACTAGTTCACGGGATTCTTGACAAACTAATAAAAAGCCACATGTGACTTCTAGTCTGTCTCTAATTTTGCAAATTCTGCTGCTGCTGAAATCTAATTTTATCCCAGATGCCCTTCCTGATGCTACTCTACAATTACCCGGGACAGAACTGAGAGAATGTTGTCTTTCTTTGAGATAATGGAATTTCACATTTTTGTCATTTTACACAAAACTTCATGACTAAACCAGCTCTCAGTGCAATGACCCGCTTTATGCTTTTTACCCCCAGCTAGCAGCTCATTTTGGTGTATCCTGTATTTTGGAACACATATGCCTCGAATGTTTGGATATAAAAACAAAAGGTTCACTCACATGTAAACGAAAGACACAAATCTGCACAGCATGGTAAGGCAGCGAGGTTAATCACTATCCAATCTGAATAATAATCTGATAATAATGTCCTCCACAAACAACAAAAATATGTAAAGTTGTAGTTTATGCTGTAGTTTAGATCTGTGCAAACATGTTCTGAAATGTTATTCTTGTATTCGTTTGTCAGGTCAGATTTCAGTGTTTTTGTGAATTCTTCTGGACGTGTTAAAAATGTGAACTTTGAAAATCTAATCACACATGCCTGTCAGAAAACTTACAATAAGATACTTCCCCCAAATTGTTCAGAGCCACAACGTGGTTTAATCTGGAACTAAGTCTGGACAAAAAGACTGTTCTAGGACAGAAACAGAGAGACTAAACCTGGGTTTGGACACAGAGGATGAGGACAGACCAGAGGACAGTGGACAGGGGACGGGGGACAGAGTCATGTGATGATGTTTGAGTAGATTTAACCTCTCGCTGGTTATTTGTGAAAAGGACAAAACAAAGTGTGACCTCTACTGCTGCTGTTTCAGGATCTACACTTGGTCAAACACCAGAGCACACAGCACGACTTCCTGTGAGGATTTCACAGTAAAATCACACAGCTACACCACCACACTGGAAACAGTTTCTGGGACATTAGATCAACTCAACAGTTGTTAGCACAAATCACAAACAAAAACATGAGGGTCAGGACTGACCATAGTCCCTAACCCTTAGGCTATAATAAACTTCACCAATACTCTTTTTAATGGCACGTTTATGTGGCATAATAAGTCAAATGGAAAAGATTGGCAATCAATGTTTCTATATTACACATAACATTTGAATTGATTTTATTTTTAAAGTTTTTGTTTATTATGTAGATTTGTATTATTCCACAGTAATACATCTGTCATATTTGCAGCTGATCTCATCTACATCCCCAGGGGGTTACAGTCACAGGTTAGATAACAACAGTTTTTCAGTAGTCACCATAGATTCTATGGTAGTGACTCTCAACTTTTGTTCAAAACCAAAATCCTAAACAGAACCATAAACACTCACAGATTCCTGAACATGTGCTCTTTAAACCCATTTTGTATTTCTTCTTAAGTGTTCAGAAAATCCAAAAATGTTTTTATCTGTGTTTGCTAATGTGTGCATTGAGTCTCCATGGTAACTGATGAACATTCCGCCACACACATACATGTAGCACACCCCCAGGGTGATGTCACTGCAAAGTACCAATAAATAATGTTTAATAAGTTTATAATTCATTTCTTTTATCCAAGCTTTTATCGTGGAAGTAGAATAAGTTGTCACTGTAAGAGATTTTTTCTAGATATGATTATAAATGCGTGGCTTTTATTCTCGATCCGTACTTTTATTCTCTCTTTTTCCGGCTCGGTGCGTGCGTAATGACGCAGCTGTGCAGTTTCACTCACCATCTCGATGATCCGCGTCTTCTTTCCCGCTCGCTTCTTTTTGGCCACGATGTACTGCGCCAGGACCACCCCTCCGAACAGCGCGCACACACTGGCACTTGCCGCGGCCCCCACCTTCACCACGGCCGCTCGGTCCATTTTGTACCCGGCCCGCGGAGCTCCGGAGCCCGCTGTCTCTGCTCCTCTGTCCGCTGAGCAGATCCACAGCGGCGGGTCTTCCGGTTCTGTGACAGCTCGAGATCCGCTGTGAGGCAGGAGGGGCCGCCCCGGAGCGCGTTTACGCACGAGAACTTCTCTTTGGCTCAAGAGTGAACATTTAGTCTATTATAAAAGTTAGGGGTAATGCAAATATTATTTAATGTTTTTTTCCACTGATGATTTGTTGTAGAAACCAAGACAAACAATGTAGCCAAAATGAAATTATAAATAAAACGTATTTGGTTTAGCCACTGTCAGAATAACCCAGAAATACTGAAATACAGAAAAATAAAATGTTATGAGAAATATCTCCCAAATAATAGCTTCAGAATATGAAAAAGACAAATCTGGGACAAAATGGCTAAAGTGTCAATTGCTGTTTAAATGCTTCTCAATCTTTATGTGGGAAAATTGTTATTCTTAGCCCTCACAATACCTCAGCTTTATCTGTCCAAAATGGTAAATTGCATAGATAGGCTAGATTAACAGAATGACACATGACACTGCAAGGGCTGTACTGTTCTGTTGATAACATGTTCAGTGTAATTAACAGTTTTTCTCACATTTGGAATCTATGGGATCCTTCTGGATTTAGCTGGACCCTTTTCCAGATCTGAGCCTGGTCCAGGTCAGAAGGAGCTGGAGGAATAGTCTATGTATGTTTTCAGGGTGTAAGGTGTTACCTACTGACCAGGATCCTCTTGTAGAGACCGTTACATCTGTTCTTCAGACCCATAATTGTCACCTGTCTGATCCATGTAAAGAAAGTGAACCTGGTTTAGCAGTGGTTCTAAACAATATTATTTATTACATCTATTATATCTGCAGGACAAGGACAAGAACAGACCAGGGTGATCTAACACATCATTATGTTCATAAGCAGGGCAGGACTTTAAAAAAGAGGTTGCAGATAAAGTTTCAGGTTTACTTTAATTTAAACTTTTAAATAATGAACAAAAGTAGTGAATGAACTGAATGAATGGAATGTGTATCCTGATCTGAGTGTAAGATAGTTAAAGTGTATGTGGACCTGGATTCATAGATTAATTTCAATGCTTTTAACAATTCTCTGGCTATGGAGTAAGATAAACATCTTAAACAAAAAGAAACCAGATAAATCTTTAAAACAAGTCGAGAAATCTGGACTTAATATGTAAACAAATCCAAAAACTTGAATACATTGAATAATCCAACTAAATACAACAGCGTTGTAGTGAGCTACGTTCAGTCACATGGGGGCGCTGTGTTTTGGGGCATCACTCCACAGGTTTGATCCCTTTGGCTTCCTCCAGCGCTCGGAGTGTCTCGTCCCACTGAGTGAACTGTTTCGACAGCAGGAACATCTGAAAGCACAAAGACACTGGCATGAACTCTGTCTTCAGTTAAAACTGAAACTGCATTTCGTTGCATTGTACTTGTACAAGTGTAATGACAATCTAATTTGATTTTAAATGCATTTTCTTACTCATTTGGTGGCAGCTGATCCAAAAAAAAAATACTCTTCTAACTCAATCCAAGTATCAAATATGTAACTCAAAGATTCATTTGTAAGAGAAGGACGAGGGCAAATCTTTTTAATAAGCCTGTAGTTGACTAAAGAAAGACTATTCTGTATCTCTGAATCAAACTGCACTCACAAGATTACACCTGCAGGAGTTCATGCAAAAACTATTATTTATACAGAAAAAAGTACTAGAAAACAATGTATTTATATAAAGACAAATTCAACTGAGAATCATGACTTTAATCAGACTTTTTACAGATAAATACCAAAAAATATCTAAAATCTAAATAAAATGATTAGTTGACTAATACAAATTCAGGTCAACAAGACTCCATCTGTCAGCAAATGCCCTCCCTACTTTTTAAAATCATGTTATTACTACAAAGTAGTAAATGATTATTAAATGATTGTTCCTGCTTAAACACTTCTTTATGGTAAAAATACAGTCCCACAGACATTTGGCTTTGAACACAAAAATAAAAAAGTACCATTTTGTTGTATTCGTCAAAGAGTTTCTTCACCTCCACGGCCTGAGCATCACTTTGGTCCTGTTCATGAAACAGACTCTGTTAAAATGGCCCCTAAAATCGACTTTTTTCAAACATGGACATTAAGACGCACCTGCTGTTTAATGTGGATCTGAGACAGACGCTGTAGCTTAGTGGCGTGCTCTGGAACATCTGAAAACACAAAAGTACTTCTGCTCAAATTAACTACATGAGATATTTAAACGAAGAAAAGAAGGAGACCATCTGGTCAAATCAGAGCCAACTCAAACCCAGACAGGTTCATTGATTAGTTTGCTTGCTCAAATGTATCAATATTGTTTTCTACAACTTGGAAGCAAAAGATCTCAGTAAACACAAAAACTCAAATCTTTTTGAATGAAGTAAAACACAGCTGCAGAAGTGTTTTCTAAGAGACCTGTGCCCAAACAAGTGAAATCAGCTTGATGAGTCTTATTTAGAATACAGAACGATTGCCACTTTCTCTAATATGATTGCTAACTGCTTGTAAATAAATGGTTTGTTTTTTTCATCACTTAATCCTATAAAGTACTGCCCCAAAGAAGATGCAAAGTATTGGCATTTCTGAAATAAAATGATTATAGCAAAGACCGGACATGCCTCGGATGTCTCTCTTTTTTCATAACAAATGATTAATACTAATATTAATTCATATTAAATAATAATATAATTTAATAAAATCATATTACAGTCCAGCGGGATGTACCTCTGATGTAGGTGCTGTCCAGCAGCGGCTGCAGAGTGTTCACCTGCTCCAGTAACGCCGCCTGAGAGGTCAGAAACTCCTCCTCTGTCAAACAACAAATTAAAATAAAGATATCATCAATTTGTCTAAACTGTTTACTTTAATTTGAACCACTAATTTATTAATGTTTGTCCTTCAACTTTTTGATTGACTCTTTTTATGCTTATCAATTTGTGCAAAACTGTATAAATAAAATGTAATATTATCATAAATCCAGAAACGTCTAGGATCTGTTCTGAGTTTTAATCTGACCTGCGAGGATGAACTCCAGCTTCATGGCGTCTGGAAGCGAGATGTGATCTGTGAACTGAGGGTCCAGATACTTCACCAGGTCCTCAACTGGAAACAACAAACACAAATCAAATATATGAAAACCACTTATGAAACTATGTTAACCTCCAGCTCGGCATTGTACATTACACATTTTTATGAATAATAATTCGACTATAACAAAAAGTGTCTTCATTAACTTAACAAACAAACATCATTTCATATTTTAACAGTTTAATTTGATGTTCTCTGGTGGTTCTGGTTTTCATTTATAAAAACATATGGATTAATTCCTGGCTCTCTTCTTGAATCGTGAATTAGTTGTATTCTCCTGTAATCGTGTAAAGAGGTGTGATGCGGACTGACTCTTTTTGTGCAGGATCTTGACTCGTTCTCGTTTGTTGGCTGTTGACCCCAGGGCCGTCTGGATCCTGGCGATGGACTCTGCACACTGTGGAGACAAAGAGACAGGCTTTAATTTTACTGCATGTTTTGGCTAAAAGGTTACATACTGTGGCTTTAAATGTATCAAATCATTTTGGTATGCAATGTCTTCTAGTGATCTTCTAGTTTTCATGTGACGTGAACATTCTTCTGGAGGGCAGATGTTCAACCATGGAGAATAAAATGGCCCTTGTTTAATCAAAGAGCCACTGCTTCCTATGACTTCTGTTGATACAAGTTTGAGGGGTGGAACAGTTTGAAGACCTACAATTTGGCTTTAAAATGAAAAGAACGAAAACAGAAAGAGTCAATAACATTCCACTTAAGTGAAGTTAGAAAGCAGTAACATTTCATTTACAACCTGAATGCAACTGAATCATTATTTAGAAGACAAGACATGGTTTGAGGCCAAATACAGACATTGTGCAGTCAACCGATGTCTCATAACTGTTGCATTTCCTGTGAAGTCATCTTGTATAAAAGAGTATTTAAACATGTAAAACAGCCATTATTTATTTTACCAGAAAGGTCCTAGAGAATGATCACCAACAGCCATTATAGAGAGCCATCGAACCCACTATTTGTTCAACTTAAAGTGTTGAGAATGCATGGTATTGTCGACTTAAGTCTCCTCAAAGTCATGTATAAAGCAAAGTGCAAAAAGTGTTACCTGTAAATATTCAAAGACTGTTTGAGATGAGAACAAGCCACTACAGTTTAAAAGGAACCTACATGTTTAAAAAACCCAGATTCAGAACCAAGGTTATAGAGCAAAGCACTGCTGTGAAAGGAGTTAATTTATGGAATAGTCTTGACGAAAAAATCAAAGGATCAACTTACTTACTTAGGATAATTAGGATGTTCCTGGTCGAGGGCTAATAGCCCCTGAGACCAGATCTGTAGTTTTCAGTTCCTTTGTACGTGCATACTCTAACTTTTTACACACTTAGTTGTTACACATGGTTTATAAGGCATGCTTCCCAGGTCAGCATCCCATGGGTGATTTTTCCAGTAGCTGTCTAGGCGGTTTTTAAAGAAGTTGAGTGATGGTGCAGAAACAATGTTTTCTGGCAGTGAATTCCAGTCGTTTACAATACAATGGCTGAAAATGTGACAACGAAGGCTAGTGGAGGCTCTCGGTTTCACTAGTTTCAAACTGTGTCCTCCTGTCTTGGTGCCGACTGCAATCTGGAGTATTTTGCCAATGGAGCTGTCATATATGTCGTTGAGTATTTTGTATGTCTCTACTATGTCTCCCCTCAATCTGCAAAATCTCAGTGTTGGAATATCAAGACTCTGGAGACGTTTTTCGTAGTTCAGTTTGCGTAGTTGAGGCAGTTGTTTGGTTGCTCTCCTCTGCTCTCTTTCAATTGCTTCAATGTCGTTCTTTAGTTTTGGGTTCCATACTGCGGCTCCGTATTCGAGATGTGGCCTGACTAATGCAGTATACAAAGGCTTGAAAGTGTTAACATCAAGATAAGTGTGAGTACGCCTGATGATTCCCATCACACTACTAGCCTTATGTATACGAGAGTGAATAAGGCTAGTGCATCAAGTACAATCATGGCATTTAAAAAAAAAAACCACACACACACACATAAAATCCAGTGCAATGTGTATGTATGAAAAAGAAAACTTTGTTGTGCATAAAAGTGATGATCTCTGTTTGCAACTGATTAAAAATTGTGATCAAAATGAAATGATGATTACTGATACTAATGATTTGATATGTTTTAAAGTAACTGTGAGTGTTAATGTTTTGTCTGGAAAAGGTGTAAATAACATAAGATTACTCTTCTTTCTACTCCCTTTCATTCATTTCTTGTGTGTTTGTTATTGTCACTGTTAATGTCTTTTTGTACTTTATGATTAAAATAAACAAATATAACCAGTGTTGGTGAGTAACAGATTACCAGAGTTACATAATCAGAGTACAAATTATGAGTAACTGTATTCAGTTACAGTTACTGTTTCAGTGAGTGGTAATTGGATTACAGTTACTTTGTTGAAATAAATGGATTACATGGCGCTATTTTCCTGTTTTCACATTTCGGGCTATATCCCTTTCTTTTTTTTTCCCCCCAGTAATTCCACTCATTGCCAAACACTAAACCAGGTCCAAACCAGGTCCAAAACCAGGTCTAAAACCAGGTCTAAAACCAGGACTAAACTAGGTCTAAAACCAGGTCTAAAACCAGGTCTAAAACCAGATCTAAAACCAGGTCTAAACCAGGATTTAACAGGACTAAATCATGCTGCATGGACCGTGTCTCCTCCTCTTCTATCAATACTATTTTTTATTTGGTTCAGTATAGTCTGGGCTTTTTTTATTGACTTTTAACAGACAAAACCTCATATGTCACGATAACCAAGTCTTTGCTTCTCTACAGCAAATCAAGTAATCCAAAGTATTCAGATTACATTACTCACAAATTACAAAGTAATTTAATGGGTTGCGTTACAAACTACATTTTGGGGTATGTAATCTGTAATCTGTAGGGGAATACATTTTCAAAGTCACCTTCCCAACACTGAATATAACAAATATAAAATAATCCTAAAGGGCGTTGACGGTGTTAGCATCACTGCGCTAACCATCGGCGAACCCATCCCTCCATCATTTAAAAGATCATTTTAAACCCACCTTCACGGGCTTCCCACTTTTATTCCTCCTGTCGCCGTAGACTCGACTCTCCAGCGCCTGCAGCCGCGTTTCCAGATCGATCGTGTCCATTTTCCACGATTTTCCACCTCAAAAATGAAGAAACAAAACAAGCGAACAGCAGCGGCTACATACGTCATCCAGGTGCGACGGCGCGCTCTGATGACGACAGACCTGGCAGTGAATTCACCCATCTTTCAGGAAGCTAAGAGCAACACAGCGAGAAAAGTGCGTATTTTCAGCTCTGATTTTAGGTTATAATTTCAGAATTTACAGATTTCAAAAGGAGAGAACCCGGAGCAGCAGATCTGATTAATATTTGTATATTTCATAGATTGTTTTGGACAGAAAAGTCGGCTCAGTTAGCCTGCGAGCTAACGTCAGATTTGGCTGCGCAATTGGACAGTTGACAGCGCCGCTTCCTCCAGTGTTTTGCATTATTTCTCTGTAAAACTGAAAGTATATTTTTGAGAATTATGCATTTTGTGGTTATGAATAGAACATGACTGATGAGGGCAACATTGAAAGCAAAATCAACAAATGACATTTATGTTTATAGTGATTTTTAAAGGTTTTGAAAAGAGCTTGTTACACTATGGCAGGGGTGTCAAACTCATTTTGGTCCGGGGGCCGGATCAGAAAATTCATGGCATATTCCCCAAAAATAACAATAAGTTCAAATATTTGTGCAGAGAAACGCAAATCTATTACAGAAGTATTTTTTTAATTGATGAACTCTTTCTTTTACAAAATATTATAATATTATGAACAACCTGAAACTTTAAGAAAAATACAATTTCAACACAATATTTTAACATGAACTTGTATGTAAATAGGAATAAGTCAATTTTTCTTGAAAAGAAAATTTTGACTCATTTTTGACATTTTGCTGATGAGGGTGTCACGGTCAACAGTCAAAACGATCGTCCTTTAAGAGCGTTTGGAAAGAGACAAGTCTTCATTTGTGCTGCTCTGGTGGGAGGGGCCACGTACAGAGACGCTGGAGACACTGCTGTGCTCAGCACCGCAGAAAATTACCAATAATTTAATAGAAAATATAATAAAAATATTTTAGTAGAAAATCAGTCAAGGGCCAGATTAAAGGTCTTGGAGGGCCGGATCTGGCCCCCGGGCCGTATGTTTGAAACCTGTGCACTATGGAATGCATGTTTTACACTTTTTTTTATAAATGCTCTGTCCTCCTGTCATTGAAAGGAAGATTAACAAGTGTAGAAAGGTAACAAAAGATAGTTCCAAGGGTTGTTGTACCTGTTACCTATTGGAATAGCACTATATAGACTTAGACTTGCAATTTATTGATCCACAAGAGAAATTCGGACACAGAAGTTCACGCATCACAATATAATATAATAACAATGAGAAAAAAAATATAAATGGTAATATTAAATTCTAAATAAGTAGCAAAAAATGATACCAAGAGACAGGTGTCAAGTAAGACATAATTATATAAATGTATGTCTACAAATCAAAATAAAATGGAGCTGTAGGGAGTATTATCTGTTACATAAAGGTGAGTTGGTGTACAGTTGTAGGGAGTATTGTCTGTTCCATAAGGGTGAGTTGTTGTACAGTTGTAGGGAGTATTATCTGTTACATAAGGAGGAGGAGTTGTACAGTTGTCGGGAGTATTATCTGTTACATAAGGAGGAGGAATTGTACAGTTGTAGGGAGTATTATCTATTACATAAGGAGGAGTTGTTGTACAGTTGTAGGGAGTATTATCTGTTCCATAAGGGTGAGTTGTTGTACACTTGTTTGGAGCATGGTATGTATGTAGTCCTGTATCTCACTGTTTGAGTGGAGCTGTAGGAGCCTTTTGGAGAATGGAGATGTTCTATGTTCTTTGGGCAGATTTCATTTCACAGAGCACTTTTTAAACGACACGTCCAAGAGCATTCACATGAGCATTGTCAACACTGAAATCGCAGCTGATAAACGAATGCAAGAATCCCATGCATTTCTGAACACGTTTGTAGAGGCCCAAAGTTAACTACTGTGTTAGATATTTAAGTCCTTCACGTTACAACCTACTGTAAACTAAACTGTATTTATATAGACATGGGCTAAGGGAGTGTGACGTCACCCACGGGGTTCAGCTCCAGTCAAATGAAGCTCATTGAGGTTTGCAGTTCTAGGAGGGAATTTGGAGCCTAGTTCCATGTTAGGGATCGGAATTGAAATGCGCTTTGTGTTGCATTTTTGAATGTATGCTCTATAAAAAATGTTTGATTGATTGATGGATAGAAGAAAATACTGAAATAAAAACACCATAATCATGTAGAGTGGGTTATTAGAAACATTTTAAGACCAGAATGACAGGGCTCACAGCATGTCCATCATATGGAATTTGTCATTTGGCGAAACAGACCTGTGACTGTTGATTAAGCATTTAACTAAAACAATATATGCATTTCTTTTACAATTTTATTTGTTTTATACAAATAAATATATATGTGATACTATTTTAAAGTAATCATTTTAATTTGAAATGTAAAATAATCACATAAATTAAATTAAATACATTAGGTTTGGTAGATTATTTCATAATTATTCTAAATGCAACTGGACAATAAATATATTAAGGGTAGACAGACAGATGTTGGGATTTTGTTGAGTTTTTATGAGATTTGTTTCAAAAGAAAAGCAATTTTTTTATATTTCAATTGAACCGTCATTTGGTAACATGGCAGATGTCGTCTCTCTCTCTCTCTCTCTCTCTCTCTCGCTCTCTCTATATCTATATCTATATCTATATATCTATATATATATATATATATATATATATATATATATATATATATATATATATATATATATATATATATATAATAAAAATTGGTGCCAGAGTTGAGAGTTAATGCAGTATTAGGGTTCATTGTAAAATTCTTCAAAATTTTAAGAAAAAAAAAAAATATATATATATATATATATATATATATATATATATATATATATATATATATATATATATATATATATATATAATATATATATATATATATATATATATATATATATATATATATATATATATATATATATATATATATATATATATATATATATATATAGCCTTTTATTTATGGCTTTTTCTTAATTGCTTTTTAATGGCCAATTATTTATTTATAGATCTCAGTTTATATTTTTCATGCTTTTCCATAATATAAGTTATTTAAATATAATACAATTTTAACAGTATGTCTGTTGCACTAAATGACATTTTTAAGACATCCTGGGCTTTAAATGCAGAAAAATATTTTTTATCATTGTTTTTTTTTTTTTTTTTTTTTTTTCAAGGGGCATATTCGAAATGATGAAATATACACTTAATTATATGAGGAAATCTACACAATTTGTATGCCATTATATTTTCATTTTTTGAGCATTTGGAAAATTGGAAAACATCACTGACCCATATACAGTTTGTGGTCATTTTGAAGGGAGTCCTGCTGAAGATAAAAAGCAGCTCATTAAAAAAACCTAAAAGCTAGGGTAGCACAAACAAAGATTATCAAAGCAAAATTGCAATTTGAATGGACGCAATCAGCAAATCACAAAGGATGCAATTTTTGAAGCACCACAATTTCCTCCCAAGAAAATTTGTTTTATACTGCATAAAACCTTCAATCTGTTCAAACATGGTCTGAAATGTGATTCTTGTATTAGTTTGTCAGTTCAGATGACTGTCTTTTTGTCAATTCTTCTGAATGTGTTTAAAATGTGAACTTTGAACAGAATCATGGTATTATCAAAACATGCATCTCTCAAATCATATCATAATCTTCAAAAAATCTCAATTAGACATTTTACCTAAATCGTGCAGCCTTACACAAAAGCCCGCACTCTGGTTCTATAATCTGTCATTGTGTTGGTTGACAGCAGCAGTCTCCGGGTGTCAGATCTGGTTTGGAGACCTGGTTCTGCATGTGCCGCTGGGAGCAGGAGCTGAGGCTGAACCATGGCAGATGACAAAGACGTTCTGAGGGACGTTTGGTACGGACGCATCCCAGCCTGCTTCACTCTGCACCAGGATGAGGTCACTGAGAGGGAGGCTGAGCCCTACTATGTGAGTGCACTTGACAGGGGTCTGGGGTTATGTATGACGTAATGTATTCAATGACTATACTGACTTATTATTCAGTATATGAAAGATTCAACAAACATTTAGGGATAGTGTTTATTTTGTGTACATTTTCTTTGCACCACTGGGAAATTTGTGGTTGGTATTTTTTTTTTTTACAATATTGCAAAGATGCAAATCAAGTACTAAAGTGTTTCTTTCTACTGTTTATTTATTGCATTTTTTTAAACAATATTGTAGATTTGAAATAGTTTTTGAATCTTCTCTTGGGTTATTGTATCAGTGGCATAAATGAGTTTCAATATTATCGTTTATTGTCAATATTTTCTTAAGCAATATATCGCACTTCAGAATGTGTTATTGTGACAGACGTAATGCGCTGTAGTTACCTCTGTCCCTCAGCAAATCAGTCATGATAATTACTTAATCGACTTCACATTCAGTAAATGACGGTTGGAACAATAATCTGTGTAGATGATTGAATGTTTCTGTGACTCATTATGGATACATTCTCAGTACTAAATTGTTTCATTCTGCTGTTTATTTGTTGCAGGTCATGTTTTTAATAACATTTAGAATATTTTGGGGGGAAATCTTGCTTTAAGATTATTGTGTCAGTGGCATAAATTAGTTTAAAATTGTATTGTTTATCTTTTTTTTTTTTTTAGCACAGTATCACACTTCAAAATATGTTATTGTGACAGGCCTAGTCATATAGCAATCTGAAAAAGACATGTTGAGACTGCAGTCAGTGAGCATTCACTCTGATAAATATCAATTCTATCTCATGATAAATAAGTGATCTCTTGGTTTGATTGTAATTGAACATTTGGAATATTGCATGAGATTTCACTAAACAGCAGATGATATTTCCCTCAGTTGTGAGGGAAGGCAGACACAGATGCTTCTATATTGCTATATATTTTTTGACTTGAACAGCTTAAACACTGCGACTCTGACAGAGAGGACATGAGGAGTGGAAGTAGAACCTATAACTTAAATACTACAAATATTCTAAATGCTACCTTAAGGGTTGATTCTAGACTGTGAGGCTTTTAGGGCTGCTCAGCACCTTAGGCTTTGGAAACACTCTTTTTGCACCGTCCTTCTGAAACCTGTGGTAAAAACACGCCCTAATACAGGGTACACTTCATAAAATGTTTGCAGACATGTAGCAAATGGTTGTGAGGAAAGGAAAGCTTGATCAAAAGAGTAATCTGAGTCAATTTTTACTTTCGTAATCTTGCACTAACAGAATAGAGCCTGAAACGTCAGTGAAAAGCTCTTCCCTTATGTTTTATGAAGCTTACTTTTAACAGAACGTGGTGTGTTTTGTATACATTTCCTGTCTTTGTTTTTTAGCTGCTGTTACCCCGAGTAAGTTACCTGACTCTGGTCACCGACAAAGTTAAGAAACACTTCCTCAAAGTGATGAGAGCCGAGGACGTGGAGGAGATGTGGTTCGAGTACGAGGGAACGCCGCTCAAATGGTCAGAACCTGAAATATGTCACTAATCTGTTTACAGAGTGCTTCTAACTGCAGTTACCAGGTTTCGCCACATGGCTTCAGTGTTGATCTATTGTACATGGTTAAACCTGGTCATGGTTTAAGATTTCACAATAGAGAAATTCACTTATTAAAGCTCTTTGTGCACATCAAGTCAGCTAATATTTTCACTTCCTAAGAGTGAAAAAAGAAGATACACCCTCCTGACCAAGACTAGCTCAAAATCTGGAGATGGGCCCCAGTGCTCCTGACAGGTTTAACCCAGAGACAAGAAGGATGGGTCAAATGCAAAGGGTGCATACTGGGACAATTTTAAATAGATCTTCAGTAACCTAACAAAGAAATTGGAATTTATTATAGCAGTGAATCCTGTATAATGGTCTTGTCAAACATAAATACAGGAATTAATAGTACTAAAAAGGCTTTAAAATAAAAACATTATCTTTAACCAGTGAACAGCAATTCCTCTTCATGATGTCTCTGTGTTTTCTATCAAAGGCATTACCCAATCGGAGTCCTGTTTGACCTCCATGCCTCCAGCAGCATCCTGCCCTGGAGCATCACTGTGCACTTTAAGGTATCTGTCTTTTCTTATAGTTTCTCTTCTACTTAAACATTACATTCAGTAAAGTACAACTGAAGTTTAGGTCAGTGGATTTTCTTCTACTGGGAGGTAGGAAGAAAGTATTTTTGTAGTATGAATTATTCACAATATTAGGCAGCACAGTGTCACTTACGCTTCACAGTTTGTTCTCTCCTTGTCCTCCTGTTCCCTCTTCAACCCAAAATATGCACAATAGGTCAAATCCTCCATCTAAGTTAGTCCTGACCAAGACTAGTTCAAGATCTAGAGATGGGTCCCACTGCTCATAATAAATGTCATATCTTGTTTGTCAGAATTTCCCGGAGCGCGACCTGCTGCACTGCCCCTCCAACTCTGTGATCGAAGCTCATTTTATGTCGAGTATCAAAGAAGCTGATGCCCTGAAACACAAGAGCCAAGTGGTGAACGACATGCAGAAGAAGGACCACAAACAGCTGTGGATGGGCCTGCAGAATGGTACTGAACCAGGACTGAACCAGGACTGAACCAGGACTGAACCAGGACTGAACCAGGACAGAACCAGGACAGAACCAGGACAGAACCAGGACTGAACCAGGACTACACCAGGACTACACCAGGACTACACCAGGACTAAACCAGGACTAAACCAGGACTAAACCAGGACTAAACCAGGACTACACCAGAACTACACCAGGACTACACCAGGACTAAACCAGGACTAAACCAGGACTACACCAGAACTACACCAGAACTACACCAGGACTACACCAGGACTAAATCAGGACTAAACCAGGACTAAACCAGGACTAAACCAGGACTACACCAGAACTACACCAGGACTACACCAGGACTAAACCAGGACAGAACTAGAAGTGAACCTTGACTAAATTAGGGACTGACCCAGGACTTAAAAAAGACTAAACAATAAGTACTGAGCCCTCAGAAATATTATTCCAGCTTTCATGTATTAAACATAAGTCAATTTATCGCGTCAGACTTATCCGCAACATTAATCTTGCAGCCCTTTTGTGCAGTGGTGCAGTTGGATCAGAAATAGCAGTGAACAGTTGTTTCTTTTCTCTAAGTGTTTATGGAGCTGAGTTTGATCAGAGGTTTTGCACAGTGTGAGTTCAGAGCAGCTGTCAGAGGGTTAAAGGTGAACGATGCAGAAACACCCAAACCGAATGGGATTCTAGTGCACAAGAATATTCACAATACATTTGTAATGACTGTTTGAATAGGTTGTTTTCACGTGACATCAGTGTATTGTAGAGGGCAGGACTGAGCTGGAGGACAGGTCAGAATTCTATGGTGTAATTTATTGACCTGGTTCTGTAATTACTGGGTCTATCCACACGACACAAAAACTGGCCCAAGTTCCGCATAGTTTCTATCAACTTCACTTTTGTTTATTCAACTAATCTTTTCACAACAGTTTCAGAAAGTGGTGCCATTATTCAATCCCAAAGACATGATTGTTGTCAGCTGAAAGGACTTTAAGCCATAAGATTAATATGGAAAATACATATCTTATTATGACTTAAAGTCCTTTCAACAGACAACAATCACGTCTTTGGGGTTGAACAATGGCACCACTTTCTGAAGCTGTTGTGAAAAAATCATTTCACTTTTGTTTGTTTATACTGAAAGAGAAGACATTGAACTTTGTGCCATTTTGCACCAAATCTGCGATCTGACAGTTAAACGGCAAATTCCACCATAGACTCGTGCCTCGCGCTTCAGCTCTGTTTAAACTGGAGGGATGCTTGTGTGTGCAAGGCTTCGTGATCTTTCCTACTGCTCGGTGGACTTGTTAATGTGTTTGGGGCAGGTCATATTTAGCACAGTCAACTCTGAAGTGACACATTCCTCGCGTCTCTAAATGAAACTTGAAATAAAAACAGCAGTTAACACTCTGTTCACTGCAACACATGTTTGAGCCATCATGCTAAACTGAACCAGGACTGGACCAGGACTGAAGCAGGATTCAACCAGAACTGAACTGGGACTAGAAAAGCAGGATTTGTAAACCAGGTCTGAGCTGGTACTAAATCAGTACCAAAATGTGATTACAAAACCAGGGCTTAAGTAGAACAATACAACGATTGTACCAGGATTAAACTAGGACTGGACCAAACCAGACCTAAAACCAGACCAGGACTTAAGAAAAGCCTTAAATCAGGACACAGTAAGGACCTGACACAAGCTACATAAAGGCATCTGGTGTTAGAAAGTCCTTATTTATTGCTTGGTGAACTTTTATTCATTATGTGTGTTTTGTTTACATTTTGTCTGTGTTTTTATTTTCAGATAAGTTCGATCAGTTCTGGGCGATGAACAGGAAGTTGATGGAGTATTCCACAGAGGACGGAGGCTTCAGATACATCCCCTTCAGGATATACCAGGTACTGCACACATCTGCCACTACTAATTCATACTCAGCAGCTGATGTCATCAACATTCTTTTGGGGGATGTGATGCTAACTATGGGTACTATTCTATCTGAAGCTCTGTTAGGGTTTAATCTGATTTAGTTTTAACACAGTCTGACCAGAAAGAGCTGGCAGAGAAAGAGCAGGTGAGCTGATTTGTGCATTTAAACAAGTTCCTTTCACACAATTACACAGTCATACGTTAGTCACTCTCACCTTTTTGTTGAAAATCAAACTCCTATGAATGCTCGGACTGATCACAGGCTCCTGAAAACTTGCCCTTTGGTTCCATCTATTTTTATTTATTTTTTCTTCAGTTTTCAGACTATTTTACAGCTTTTTGATAGTTATTGCTAATGTGTCATTGCTGGACATTCCACCATAGAGATACATCTAAGTATTTCAGAGAGATTTTGAGAACTATTTAATTAACCTCGCCGTTTTTGCAAATTTGTATGTCCAGTAGAGGGAGCCACAGTCTTTCTAAAGGTGACTTCACTATACTACAAAAGTGGGGGTATCACTTAGAAGTAGTATTTTCATGATACTAAAATTCCAAACTTGACTTCAGTACTGAGGAATAGACTCGATACTCAATAATTGTTCTGATACCATGAAAAATAGACAATAGAATGTGATTCTGAGGGTAGTACTTTCTTTCTTTTCTATTACCGTATCATCTTATATGTGTGTAATCCCTCAGTGGTCCAGGTAGGTTCATAGTGTCCATGGGCGTATACTCGTCTATGTGCTCTTATACTTGTTCCGATAAGATCAAGGTCATTCTAACATTCAGGGCCTCTTCATTTCTGTCCTGTGAACATGACTTTATTAGTATACTTGCGCAAATGACTGTCTAGTTTCGATACTAGTCTCGTTATTGATCAGTATGCTTTCCCATACTTTTGACAGCCCTAAACAGAAACACGTATTATTGCCTGTATATACGACTTGAGCTAAGCAACTGATTGCATTCTCTCCTGAAGCCTCTGACTCACTGTTGACATAGATATGGTAATCCAGGTTTAAGTGTTTCCATTGAGATTGATGTGACTGTGTCTGATTTGTGGTCTGTACCTGTATACCCGCCTGTGTGTTGTAACGACTGAACCAGGACTAAACCAGGACTGAGCCAGGACTGAACCAGGACTAAACCAGGACTGAGCCAGGACTAAACCAGGACTGAGCCAGGACTAAACCAGGACTAAACCAGGATTAAGCCAGCACTAAACCAGGACTGAAGCAGGACTGAAGACTAAAAGGGAACATAAGCAGGACTGAACTAGAAATGAACCAGGATTAAAGCAGGACTAGAACCAGGACTGAACCAGGACTAGAACCAGGACTGAACCAGGACTAGAACCAGGACTAGAACCAGGACTAGAACCAGGACTGAACCAGGACTGAACCAGGACTGAACCAGGACTAAACCAGGACTAAACCAGGACTAAACCAGGACTGAAGCAGGACTGAAGCAGGACTGAAGCAGGACTGAAGCAGGACTGAAGCAGGACTGAACCAGGACTAAACCAGGACTAAACCAGGACTGAAGCAGGACTGAAGCAGGACTGAAGCAGGACTGAAGCAGGACTAAAGACTAAAACGGGACATAAGCAGGACTGAACTACAAATGAACCAGGACTAAACCAGGACTGAATCAGGATTGAATCAGGACTAAAAGAGGACTAAAGCAGGACTGAAGCAGGACTGAAGACTAAAATGGTATATAAGCAGGAATAAAGCCAGGCTGAACTAAGGCTGAACCAGAACTGAACCAGGACTAAACCAGGACTGAACTAGAAATGAACCAGCACTAAAGTAGGACTAAAGCCAGACTGAACCAGGACTGAACCAGGACCTTTGTTGTGTTGTGTCTGATTTGTGGTCTGTATCTGTGTGTGTTGTAACAGCTCTTTACCTGGAGCGCTGTATAAATTGTGTAATCACGGCTTTTTCTGACATTTTCACCTCCATTTGGGCTGGTGCTGTTCCAAAATAGACCTGCCTCGACAGGAACCCAAATGTCAGACAGAGATTTGTCATAGAGTTAGGGTGATTAAAGATGCATTATGTAACTTTTATTACTTCCATTCGTTCTGTGTAGTAGTATCACAAATACAAATACATTGTATTTTGGAGTTGGTCTGTTTATGATTATCTACATTGCCGGGACTGTCTGTGCAGGTGAGTCTGGGTCTGTTTGCGCAGGTGAGTCTGGGTCTGTTTGCGCAGGTGAGTCTGGGTCTGTTTGCGCAGGTGAGTCTGGGTCTGTCTGCATAGGTGAGTCCGGGTCTGTCTGCGTAGGTGAGTGTGGGTCTGTCTGCGCAGGTGAGTCCGGGTCTGTCTGCGCAGGTGAGTCCTGGTCTGTCTGCGCAGGTGAGTCCTGGTCTGTCTGCGCAGGTGTGTCTGGGAATCTCTGTGCAGGTGAGTGTGGGTCTGTCTGCACAGGTGAGTGTGGGTCTGTCTGCGCAGGTGAGTGTGGGTTTGTCTGCGCAGGTGAGTCTGGGTCTCTCTGCGCAGGTGAGTCTGGGTCTATCTGCGCAGGTGAGTCTGGGTCTGTCTGTGCAGGTGAGTGTGGGTCTGTCTGCGCAGGTGAGTGTGGGTCTGTCTGCGCAGGTGAGTGTGTGCTGGGTCTATCTGCGCAGGTGAGTGTGGGTCTGCGCAGGTGAGTGTGGGTCTGTCTGCGCAGGTGAGTGTGGGTCTATCTGCGCAGGTGAGTGTGGGTCTGTCTGCGCAGGTGAGTGTGGGTCTGTCTGCGCAGGTGAGTGTGGGTCTGTCTGCGCAGGTGAGTCCGGGTCTGTCTGCAGGTGAGTCTGGGTCTATCTGCGCAGGTGAGTCTGGGTCTGTCTGCGCAGGTGAGTCCAGGTCTGTGTCATTCCAAAAGCTTTTGTTGTCACCAGCGCAGACAGTCCTCTCATGGTGTTCGTGCGTATTCACGTGGTGTGAAACGCGTTGTCATGGAGATAAGTTCTGTGATCAGCTGGTGTCTCTCATGTGGCTCCTGGTGTTTGGTGTGAATGATGTGCGGTGTGAACAAGGCCGACCCAAAAGCGAAGTAAACAGAACTAAATCGAGCCACTGGGGTCACCCCAGAGCACAGCAACATGTGTGAAAGTCACCCAAGTTACAAAATCACCAAATGGGAGCGGGGATACTAATTTAATTCTAAATACATTTTGAGGCTATAAAATTGTGAATATACTACTTTTCCTTTGCCTTGGCAAGACTTTGGTTCTGTCATAAACTACAGAATTAAGATTTAAAAGTCCACAATATTATCGAGAGACTTTTTGTCATATTCTGATTATTGTTACATCCCTACTAATTTAGTGCAGCTGGTTTAGTCTTAGTTTAGTTCTGGTTTAGACCTTGTTTAGTCTTTGTTTAGTTTAGTCTTGATTTAGACCTTGGTCCTGGTTTAGTCCTGGTTTAGTCCTGGTTTAGTACTGGTTTAGTCCTGGTTTAGTCCTGGTTTATACCTAGTTTAGATCTGGTTTAGAAATGTCTTAATCCCGATTTAGTCCTTGCTTAGACCTCGTTAGTTCTTGTTTAGTCTTTTCTTCACTGGCTAAACTCCTAGAATCCCGTGCATTTTTGAACATGTTTAAAGATACACAGTACAGGTTTAGCGGCAGATGGGACATTTCTTTTTTTGTAGGGACTGCTTTGTGAGACTTTACACGTTTTCATGTTTTGCCCTTTGCTATTTAGTCCGTTTTAAAACAGTTATTTAATTGCGATAAATCTTTCAGCCCCATTTCAATTACACCTGCAGCTTCCGGAAACAACCTTAAATGTGTCTAGACGCGTTGCTCCTATTTTTAGCCCAACCTTTAACTTGAGTCAAAGAAAAAACAATGCCTCACCTATGCTCGTCTACCTGTGTTATTAATCACTGAACGTTTATTGATTCAAACTCGACTCTTACACTGCACTCCTCCTCTTAGACATGTTGCGAGCTGCTGTCTGTTTGACTCAGGTGAAATTCCCTGTTTTTACATCAACAAAAAGCACATTATCAAACTTGTCCCCACCTGGAAAACATTAGCTGTGACAGATTGAGACAGAGCAGATGATACGGACAACTTTGAGTCAGGTTTTGGGAATAAGCATCGATATTTTTCGGCAATAGTGAGTGGGATTTTGTTTGACAAATTATTTCCATGCATTGCCAAGCTTGTTATGAAATCATGAGCAGATCAGGGCAGGGTTAAAATTCTGATTGTCCAACCTTAATTTCAATCAGTCTGCGCTAATAGTAGTGGTTGTTTTGCAATAATGTTTCAGAAAAGGATAGCTCTGGTATATTCTTCTAAGAGGACCCATTATGTGTGTCCATGTGTCATCCCCAGTTTGTTCTCAGTGCACCAGAATTTAGACGGATTTAGGCTGGGACTATAGATGGGATTATAATAGGTAAAGGCTGTTATTTAGTTATTCTTCAGCACATGCATTCAGAACAGCCTAATTATTCACCATGATGAGTTTATCAGGGTTCCCACTCTTTTTCACTGACAAAATTTCAGAACTTTTCCATGACGTTTTCATAACTTAAAGTGAATTTCCATGACTTTACAGCACCTCCATGTGTAGATGTGATCATAGTTTTAGGGCTAAATATGAAATGTTAACTCTTTCCACTCACCTTATGGTTTGGGATTATAGTTTTAGAACATTCAAAATCCTGTCAGTGCATTTATTGTCGTCTCTTTTAAACAAAAGGCGCAGATGTTCAGAAATAATCAGAATAGCCTCATGAGAACTTAGAACGCTAAAGAGATACTAAAATGCCATGGCATTTCCTAAACTTTCATTGATTTTCCAAAATCCCATGACTTTTCCGGGATTTCCATGACCGTGGGAACCGTGGTTTATGAGTGCTTTTCACAGATTTTAGTAATGCTACAACTATTAGCATGTTAACCGTGCACTTCCTGATTATCAGACAATAAAACACTTTTTATAATGAGATT